CCCCCGTTTTTAAAACCGCTGCACTTTGTTGAGGAGCAAACGAGTGCGAGCAGGCCGCGGCCTGAGCACAGACGCTTCTCTTTGCCTCTGGTATTCACCTCCTTCCCCGCAGCTCAAGATGGCGGCCGGGGGCTCGGAGCGCACCTGGGGATGGCGGCCCCGCGGCCCGCCTGGGGACGCCGGTCGCCTCTCGGGAGGCAGCCCGGAAAGCCTCTCCTTCCTCACCTCCCCAAAAAACCTGTAGGATAATTAAAGCTAAAACGTCTTTGAAAATATCCTGCCGACTACTCGGTAATCGGGACAGCTCAAAATAACACAGCCACGTTAAGTCCCACTTAAAATAACGCCAGTCTATAATAGGGATGTGACTTGTTCATTTTGGGCTATTCAGCATTTAAATAATGCCCCTAAATCATTTTGCTAAGCAAAGTGGCCAAAACCTAGATCAAAAGTAAAGACACACATTGGATGCGGGGGGAGAAAAAAATGTGTACAGGTAGGGGCTTTACCTTCACATACCCAGGGCAAACAAACGGGCATTTCCTCAATTCAGTCCCCTGTGCTTGACAGAAAGCAGTAAAGGTGCCAGGCATATCCCTTCCTGAGATTATTTGTCTTCTGTGGTTTAAAACAAATGACTATCACTACATAGCAGTATTCTTCCTGTTTTGTAAAGAGTAATAAAAACCAAAACAAAACAAAATTTGTAACTGCACTTTTACATCACAGACTCATAGAATGGTTTAGGTTGGAAAGGTCCTTGAAGACCATCCAGTGCCACCCCCCTGCCCTGGGCAGGGACACCCCCCACCAGCCCAGGTTGCCCCAAGCCCCGTCCAACCTGGCCTTGAACACCTCCAGGGATGGGGCAGCCACAGCTTCTCAGGGCAACCTGCCCCAGGGGCTCACCGCCCACACAGCCCAGAATTTCTTCCTCATATCTAAATCTACCCTCTTTCCGTTTAAACGGTTACCCCTCGTCCTATCACTATCATCATATAATCATATCACTATCAAATGATCACTCTTTGTTCATAGCGACAACCACCTCCCAGTCTTTGCATTCAGAGTCTGAAAGCCTACACTGCTACAGAGCAGTGGACTCTGACCTGTTGACTCTACGTGGCCACTATATGCAAGCACCACCATCACAACTGTTACTTTTTCTGTAAAGTGCTCCCATGTCCCAACTGGACCTCCAGGGAAGTTACACATGTTCTGTGTAGATCAGCAGCTAACTAAACGCCTGACGTGCAGAAACATAGGGCTCAATTGTGCAAAAACACTGATGTAGAGCAAGTAATAAGCATGCCTTTGTTCTAGAAGCAGGACTGGAAATGACAATGCCCTGTATTAGAAATGCAAAAATTCTTTTGTCCTTAAGTACAAATACAATAAAACACAAAATATAGGTTAGTTATAAGTAGGTCTTTATAGGATAGACAAGTCACCTGACATCTTATTTGACAAGCACAACCTTAATTCACTGTCAAAGTATTGTAATTTTTGTGGAAGGGAGGTATGTTTTTTTTACAGGGGGCAACTGACTGTTATTGGCATTTCCCCCTTGTGTTACATGTAATGATGGTGTAAAAATAACTATGGTTTGCACTTGCAACCTATGGTACTATGTCTAAGTGCTGTGGTTGGGAACTGCCTTACTTAAAAAAAAAAAAACACAACTTCTCAAACTATTTCTGGTAGAACGCAGCTGGTCAGCAAGGGAGACCTAGAAAAATCTGGGAGTATACAGATGAAAAAAAGAGAAATCTCCTCAGTTTCTTTTTTCAAATGTGGAAATACGTTACAAAACCAAGGAGTCATCCTGCATACATCTCTTGTCATGGTCATACGTGGTAATCCCTGCAATATAAAGAAGGTTCATGCTGTTCACACGGCAGCCCTCTTTTCCTATATAAGCTCTAACCAGCTCCCTGACTGGTGCGCCACCCAGATGAGAAAACTGTGTAAGACAATCACAGCCTGAATTTCATATTCCTCATTGTATGAACTCAGACACAGCTCTGTTTAAGTTAAGTTTCCTTTTCCATGTATTAGCCCTGTCTTTAGGCACCATCAATACTGATTACAATGCAGTGAGAAGGCCCTCACAGGTCTGCACACCTACAGAAGAAGGGAAAAAAAATCTCCAGTTCTGGTTTTCAGATCTTCCGAGCAAGGTCTTCTAACTTCTGCAAACTCCTTTCACAGAGTGGTTTCAGAGTGCCCCAATAAATGCAGCTACAATATTGCCAGAAGCACAGGGGCCACAGAGAAGACAGAGCAACAACAGGCATTTTCAGTGGATGTCAATAACTGACTGGCCATGGAGAAGTAGCCTATACTGCACAATTAAAGGGGAAGAATAAATCTTTAGAATTGCTGAAAGGGCAAAGAAACAGGAAGAGGTCTGTTTACAGCATGATAGCATCATAGAGTGGTGATACAGGCAATGCAAACCACCTGATGAGGAATAATATTTGTATTTAAAATTTAGCCTAGCAATCTGGAGTAACAAAAGCAGTAAATGAAGTGCAGAGAATTTCAATCCGTAACTGCACTGACCATTTTGCAGCAATGTATTGCAACTATCACAGCAGCAAATGCTAGAAGCTGTATTCCAATATTCATTCTAACCTGTTCTTGTGTGCTGATTTTACTTGTATACAGGTTCAGACTCCATTTGAACTAATGTTTTTGTGTATTGGTTCTGTGATTTTTTACCCCCTTAAAGTACATGCAAAATCAGTTTAGCTCAAAACTGCATATAAATCCCTGTTCTTGTTGGTAACAGAATTAAGAGTAACTACCAGATTATTTTTTTTAATATTAGTGCCATTTAAAAATTAGTATTTTCAAGTCTTGACAGCAGTTTCTATTGGAGTTTCAAGCAAGCTAGTCATGTTTCCCCTTAGAAA